CTTTTCTTTTTCACCTCATTCACATAATGTATATATAATCAGGCAAAAACCACAAAGAAGATTGTGCTAAGGTTGCAATGCCAAGGTTGCAAGCATGTCTCACAGCACCCAATTAAGGTTATTACTCTTCTTGAAAATCTTTTTATTAAAAATATAATCTTTTTTGACATAATGGAGAATGGATGAATTAATAGAGTTTTAGTTAATAAATGAGTTAATGGGTGATTTTGGTTATTTTGTTTTGTGCAGAGGTGCAAGCATTTTGAAATTGGTGGAGATAAGAAGGGCAAGGGAACTTCTCTTTTCTGAGCTGTTATTAAATTTAGTTTTAGTTTCAGCTATTTATATTATTGTTTTGGTTTAAAGTTGTTGAAATTCTACAATTTAAGTGGCTTTTCTTTTTTTTGGTTTTGAGATACTTGGCTTGAATTGAAAGTTAGTCTTCTTTTTGAGTGTCAACTTGCATGTGGTTTGTTTCATTTTTAGATACATGTTATGTTAGTTTCTTTATAATAAATTTCAAATTGTCGTAGGATTATTGTTTGTCATGAGGCTTTTGTTTGGTTAAAATGCATAAAGTAAATAAATAGGGTTGTTATAAGGGTGTTGCGGCTAAGGAGTTCAGGGATGAAGAGGGTTGTTATTGCTCACAATTTGGTGGTCTCAAACTCTTTTAAAGAAAGGTTGATTACTTTTAAAAATGGACATAACACCTAAATTGAATATGGATTAAAGGGTGTTGTGGCTAAGGAGTTTAGGGATAAGGTTGTCTAGAAAGCGATTTTGGCATGTCGATGAGGAAGGCCAGAGAGTATAGATACTCATGGTGGTTGAATAAGGAGGCTCAATTTAAGATCAAGGGTAAAACAAACTTGCCTTTAAGGAGTTCACATTGTGTACCAAGGATGATGAAAGAGTTAGGGCTAAGGACATACAAGGATTCCAAACGAGAAGCAAAGAAAATAGTGGCTAAAGCAAAATTTATAGCATATGAAGAGATGTATATGAATTAAACACGAAATAAGGGGAAGATGGTGTAAATCCAAGGATAGAAGGAAAAGAGACGTAAGGAATGTTAGTTTTAGTAAGGACTGAATATTAAGAAGAAATGGGTCGGTTACTTCCACTCGTTATTTAATGAGGCTACTTCACTGGTTATCCAATCTCATAAGTGTCCCGACATAATGATTAAAAGTGAGAAAATATTGATGGCACTAAATAGATTGAGGGACACATATTTGTTGGCCTGGAGCAAATCCCCATCATTGTATGGTTGTGCCGGGGGGAAATGGAGTACGGTGGTTGACGAACCTCTTTAACATTATCTTAAAGTCGGCCAAAATGTTCAAATGAGTGGAGATCGAGAATTGTCATATTGACATATAAGAACAAAGGAGATACCCAAAGCCACGACAACTATATATGTATTAATTACTAAGTCATACCATGATAATATGTGAAAGAGTGGTAGAGGCTAGGTTGATAAGGGAACCAACAATATCTGAAAACCACTTTGATTTCATGATTGGAAGGTCTACGACTCAAGCTATTCACCTCCTCACACACATTATGAAGAAATATAAAGAAAAAAGGCAAGGGCCTCCACATGGTTATTATTGACCTAGAAAAGGCTTATTATATCATTCCACAAGAGACGATATGGAAGACCTTAAAGCTTGAAGGGACACTGAAAGCTATGTTAGAGGCTATTCATGGTATATATTACGAGTCAACAACCTATGTACGAACTATAGTCGGCGACAAAGTATTTCTCAGTAGAAATTAGGCTCCATCAGGGACATGCCCTTACCCTTACATCTTTTTTCCTTGGTTATGGATGACATCTTTTGCGAGATCCAAGGAGGGTGCCATGGTCTATTCTTTTTTGATAACGATATCATTTTTGTGGCAGAGTCTAGGATTGAGTTGAATTCTGGGCTAGCTTTATTGAAGGTGTCATTCGAAGATAAAAGGGTACATATCAACATAGCTAAGACAAATATTTTTGGTGTAATTTTAGCATGAAGCTAAATGAAGAAGGAACAAAAGTGTGTATCAGTGAGCATGTATTATAACCAACGAAGAGTTTCAAGTACGTGGCATCTATGATCCACAAGGAATAAGTTGTCGATGATAATGTTACCCACAACATAAAGACAGGATGGTTAAAATGGAGAGTCGGCACGTGAGTTTGGTGTATGAAGAAGATTCCACTAAAACTAAAGGGAATTTTCTATAGGGTGGTTATATGACATGCTTTTTGTATGTATCAGAATGTTAGTCAATTAAGAAGGGGCACGAGAGGAAGATGGAGGTTGCTGAAATGAGGATGTTAAGATAGACATGTGACACAACACTCTTGGACATGATCCCAAACACAACAATTAGGAATTTTCTAGGAGTGGTGTCTATCCTTGATAAATTAAGGGAGGTAAGATTGTGGTGGTTCAAGACATGCATGTAGAAGGATAACTACAACCCATGTTAGAAGGATGTAGTCGCTTAGGTTGCGTTTAGTTACGAAAAAATAGTTTTCATTTTCCCCTTTCAGTTTTCGTTTTTCATTTTCAATTTTCAGTTTTCATTGGAAAATTTAGAAAACGCGTTTAGTTAAAACTTTTTCATTTTTTCATTTTTAGTTTTAGAAAATTAGAAAACGCGTTTAGATGTGTATATTTCTATCGGTTTTCATTTTTAGAAAACGATAGCGGTGGTAGGGTGGGGGTGGGGGCAGCGACGGGGGGCAGTGGTGGTGTCGATGATGGAGACGGTGGTGGTGGTGGTGGCGGCAGTGGGGTGGCAGCGGCGATGGTGGCGGCGGAAATTGTGGCAGTGGTGGTGATGGCGGCGGCGGTGGTGCTGCTGGTGATGGGGTAATGGTGGTGGTGATGGTAGGTCGGTGATTGTGGTAGTGGTGTGTAGGTGTGTGTATATTTGTGGGGGTGGAGGTGGGGGTGGGTGTGTGTGTGTGTGTTTGTGGGGGTGGGTGTGTGCATGTGTGTTTTGTGGGGGTGATGGATGTGTGTTTGTGGGGGTGTATGTGTAGGTGTGTGTGTTTGTGGGGGTGGAGGTGGGGGTGGATGTGTGTGTGTGTGTGTTTGTAGGTGGGGGTGAGTGTGTGTTTGTGGGGGTGGGTGTGTGTATGTGTGTTTGTATGGGTGGGGGTGGGGATGGGTGGGGGTGTGTGTGTGTGTGTTTGTGGGTGTGTGTGTGTATGTGTATTTGTATGGGTGAGGGTGGGGATGTGTGTGTGTGTTTGTGGGGGTAGGCTTGGGAGTGGGTGTGTGTGTGTGTGTGTTTGTGGGGGTGGGTTTGGGAGTGGGTGGGTGTGGGTAGGTAGGAGTGTGGTGAGTTGGGGGTAGGTAGAGGTGGGAGTGAGGGTGTAGTTATATTTTAGAAAAATTTTGGAATTAGAAAAATGTGGAAAACAATGATTATCAGTTTTCCAAAAATTTCCAACTTCTTTGTAGTTTTAGAAAACAGAAAATTTTCATTTTCCATGAAAAATTTAGAAAAATAAAGGAACTAAACGCGTTTTCAAAATTATCATTTTTTTTGGAAAATTTTTCCGGAAAACGGTCCATTTTTCTGCAACTAAACGCACCCTTAATGTTTAGGGTGCAAGGAGAAAATGATGACCGATAAGGAAATGAGAATTAGGGAGCGGAGGAGTATAATTAGGATAGTGGAGTAGCATAGAATTACCTTTTTTTTTTATCACATCTGTACGTGTCAGCCAGCCTATACCCATAGTTTTCCGCTTCATGCTTTATACCCCTTTTATGCTCTCAATGTGTGTATTTTGTACAATATCCATGTTGCTTGCTTTTTCCACCTTTACATGCAACTTTATTGTAGCTTTAGTTTTTTCCTTTTGCTTCATACTACAAATAATTTTCTCTCTTTATTTTCTATTTTTATCTTCTACCTTTATTCTTTAATTTTGGCTAAGATTTCATATAGTAGGAAATTCACAATGCATATTATGGTGTGGACTCTCAAACAAGACAAGTTTTATTTATTTATTTATCCTAGTTGTTTTATGTTGGAGGTCATTGTCCAAAGCAGTTTCTTTAGATTTGGGGTTGTTACGTCGTACCTTCTCTTTACTATGAGGTTGATGTAGTATTGTTGTTATATGTTACTTTATATATATATATATATATATATATATATATATATATATATATATATATATATTTATTTTGAAACGGTTTACACATTTATCCACTAATCTACTTCTAAATCTAATTTTTTCATTCCAAATAAGACTTGAACCCTCAACATTTGAGTTTCGGTTAAATGGCCTTCATCTGTCAACTCTTAATGATGTTAGGGAAAAGGTCTACTGTTTATATTATATTATGATACTAATATGTGTGAGGCGTGCCCCTACTAAAATGTATTTTTGGATCCGCTACTGCTCCGAATTTATCGATAACCTTTTAACCATTATTTATCGATAACCTTTTAACCATGGATACCAAATAACATTATGTAGATTCGAGCTATCATACCTAATGATCCTATTGATCTAAAAAGATGACCGACTAAAGGTCATTCAAATTGGATCATAGTTCGAAGCCAATCAAGTCAACTCACTTTAGGTATCTTTCTTCTATTAGAAATCCAGAAGTAAGAACGAACAACAATTTTTCCTTTTCAAATCTTCCTCTCCATTTTGAAAAGAAAGTGAAAAAAAATTTATCAATTACACAAAAATTTCTTATTTTATCAATCATCAAATATTCACACACTAAGAACAAAATTATAAAATTATCATTTTTCCTCTTTCTTTCCAACTTGCAGCATAACCCATCGTAATTTATATGGTGCACTTTATCTATTCGGAGCTTGTAGTTTTTCTTTTGTTTTAGATCTCTCACGTTTAACCCAACATACAAACTTGTTGTATTGAGTGTGTCCAACAAATTGCAATTTTTGTCACATCCAATGTGAAACACTACATACAAACTTGTTGTATTGAGTGTGTCCAACAACCCTAATAATTAAAGTAAACTAAACAATAACACAAATGCATTATCACTTGCATTCAAAATTACCAAAAAAATGTTGCAATAGAATATAATCCCAAGGCTTAAAAGAAACACCTTTCACACAACAAACAACTCTTATTAACCAACCAATCTCATCCCAAACAAACAATCAATCACTTCAAATGTGGGTCAAATTACAAAGGGCCCGGGAAAACCCCATTCTCCCTCTGCTCATTCCACCTGTCCACCTGCAATTCAACCATTGTAATAAGAACAATCTAAAGTAACATATTACAATTTACAAGAAGCAAATCAATGAAAATATGATGCTCTATTTGTTGCATTTAGTATTAAAATTTATAAGCAAAACTCACCCATTCAGCAGGGCAAAGAGAACGATAGTATTTAGCAAACTTTTCACATTCTCCAGCTCCATCACCCTTAGCTGCCACACATCTGTGTCATCATAAAAATAAATCTTGAAATCTATCAAATGAAAAACACACTTGTTCATGAATTTCTTGGATAAATTCAGTCTTATGTCAATCAATAATTTAATCATGAAAACATACCTGTGGAACTCTATGTAGCGTGTGAAACAGTGTCTGCTTTGATTTGTTGTTGGGAAACGATAGTCACCTGGTGCAGTCTTCAGTTCAATCTGAATCCAAAGATTGAAAGACAAATTACACAAATTTAGTTGATATTTGGTCATTCAAAACAATCATGAAACAAGAATGGTGGTTTCGCATCAATGAGATTTGGGACATTCAGCTGACAATAGAATCAAAGACAAAGTTTTGTAGCGTTGTGATACATACAGAAAAGAATATGGAAGCAAGCAAATTAGGCTTTTGAAAATTAGGGCAAATTGCAATAAATAGCACAGAATGGTGTAATACAGTAATAGAATGATGAATTTTCAACGAAATGACCACAGAAACTCCTGAGACCTGATATCTCGAATTCTTATTATCCGGTTATATTTTATTATTCCAAATCAATTAATCATATATGACTGAATTCAAATTTTGATAATTTCGAAACCGGACGCACATAATATAATGTAAATCTGAAACCCTAATCGTGTAGAATTATCATAGAATTGAATCAAATCGAGGAACCTATAAATCCTACAAAACGAACGCCGAGGCAAAGGAGATTGAAGATTCATCGATCAATGTCTGAATCGAAAAACCAAACACATATGCGAGAATGAAAACGAAAAAATGAAACGATATATCATAACCAAAAAATCTAGGTTTAAAAAATTTCCATCGTATGATACCTCGGCCATTGTTGATGAACGGGAACACGAAGCTTTCGAAGCAAGCGCACGGAAAATGGAGAACGTTTCAAGCGTTTGAGAAGGGAAGCCAAAAGCGAACTAATGTTCAAATACAGAAAATAGTTACAATTAGACCCATCTACTAATGTTTTATGTCTTTGAGAATCCTATAATTTAAATATTTACAAAAGAGACCCTTTGAAGTTGCCTATAGTTCGACAATCCAACCTATACGCCCCTTGTGATCGTGTTTTCTATACGAGAAATTAAATATGCTCCTATTTTTCTTCTTATATATCTTCCTACCCATTTGAAATGATGAGAAGTGTATTAAATTAGTGATAATCTTATCTAAATATGACATATGTTACCATTTTACATATTTTACGTAGATAGGAAGAAAATGTAGGATGATATTTAATTTCTTGTATATTACAATTACAATATTTCTTATGGTAAGTAACCAATATTTAGGACAAATGCCATGATTTTTATCACGATTAAAGATGAACCCGATTCTAAACATGATCTGCCTGCTTGCAACCAAAATTAGCCCAAACCAAGAACTGAAGACCGACCCATTATATGTATTTTGTTTTTGGTACCGGTTTTGGGTGTTAAGCTCCCATACCCACAAAAACCAATTTTGTATATAACATTTTTATGTTCGTGTTCTTGTGTTGAAGTAACATAAACCAAAAGAAACAATAAAAGTTCTAACATATATATCATGTTTTCAACACACACACACACAAAAAAAAGCTCAAACATATATTTCATATATCATGTTTTCAACAAAAATAAATAAACCAAAAGAAAAAGTAAACGTTCTAACATATCTTTCATCTATCATCTTTTCAACACCAATAGGAACAATAAAATATGTTTGTTTCAAAACCCAAAAAACAAATTAAACATCAATTTGCATCTTTCTTTTTTCCATTCCATCTTGTTCTTGTAGTGTATTGTCTCTTATATCTCTATATTAAAACCAAAAAATAGTTGTTAGTATCTTAAAATTCCAATTTATGGTAAACAAGAAATATTATGATAATTGTAAGTAACTACTCAACGACATGTCATCATCTTTTAAGATGTTGTCAGTGTTGTTTATAATTGGTTTCCTTGATTTTATAACTCAATCTTGGATGCAAACTAGCACATACACTATCGGATTGTTAAACGAGTTCGATACTCGTTGATAAAGTGGTTTATTACAACCATATAATTGACTGTCTTATACGAAGACATCTAAGTGTCTGTAGTTAAATGTGTGGTTTATTTGGATAAGTCAAGTAAGCAAGCAATTTTTTTCTTCAATATAATACTTTGTAACATCTAGACTAAGCTTCTGCCTGGATGTCAAAAAAACCCTCTCATTAAGTGCATTTATATACTCGATCAATGTTTCATTTTCTACACATTTAAATGGTAGTTCAGCTACAGGTTTAATAAAAAAAAAATTAACCTCAAGGTCATCATCCAGATCATGCTTCCACTTGTGACACTACCCTCCTATAAGGTTCTTTCTTACATTGCAAAGTGCTTTGTTTTTCATAATTTTAAGATTCCTTTTTTTTTTCAACTTTAAGAGTGGTTAAGCAAAAATTATATTTAGCACTATTTTTTTTTTCACTTCATCGTTACCTTTTATCCAATCGACTTCGAAAGTTTTCCAACCATTATATTTAGCACTACTTTTGGTTCCTGGAAATTCTTTTGTTGGACTTTGACATATTCTCTTCTTTGTCTTTATCAGAATCATCATCAACATTAACAGGGTAAGGTCAATAAATATATTGTCCTTCTAAATGTAAAAAACAATTACATTAGTATTTATAAGGTATAACAATTAGCAAATGGTGAATAATATATTTTTCCATTCAACTTCTGCCATGTCAAAACAGTCTTTATTCTTTTCCGTTACAATTGATTTCTTATTTTATTTACCCTTTTTCCCTAAAAATTTTAATACTTACAATTTTAATCCTCTTTCTGCCAAATGTTTTAGTTTTTTTTATCCGACTCTACCCTTACAATTCTAGTTATTATTGATTCATCAACTGATTTTTGGTTTGTTTTTAACCCTATGGTTCTATATATTTCAAATTTATCCTTGATAGTTTTCTTTGGTTTGTTTTTTTAGTTTTGTTTATCCTTTTTTTATCCAAAGGTTATAAAACTTCTAAAATTTACCTTATATATTTCCATAAATTTCATATGGTCCAAAAAAAATCCAACTTTCTTTTTCAATTTCTATATAAGAACCTTAGTTTTTTTTTAGATAAATACATTTTTTACAAAATTTTAAATGTTTTTTTTAGAATTTCGTTTTCAGAAAAAAAAAAACAAAAAAAAAAAAACAAAAATTATCACTTGCCTATTGTGAATATGAAATATATATGCAACACTGTGCGAGTTAAAACCCACTAGTTAATAACATTAAACATTATGGTTACAATATCAAGCCACAAAACTTACTTGAATTACATGAATAAAGCAATTAACATAAACTTATAAAGAAAACAATACAACATTACAACATCAAATTATAATATTTATTTGAATATCTTCATGGAGGAGGGAAACTAATTTTTCATCATTGACATCGAGTAGGGTAAAGAAACTTGAAGAAACAAAATCTTTCAAAACCCCAAAATGTTTTTAAGTTTAAAAGTTCATAAAAAATGTCTCAAATACGAAACAAGGTTTAAAGTTTAAAAGAGAGAGGTTGTGCTAATATAATATCATAACATAGTTCAAGACTACCATACAAGTCGTGGTCTTCGGAAGATCCTTACAATCTTCTATTCTTATATATAGGTCTTCAATCTAAGCATATGTCAAAGTATAGTTAAGCAATAAAATGTCTTGTGAAAATATATGGGGTTGACTCATATAGAGTAAGTAATTATAACAATCATTACACTCGACTCAAACCCCCAAAATCAATTTAAAATCAACAAATTTTCGAAGTTTTAATAATCTCAATCAAGGATTCTAAGATCCAAAAGTTAAAGTCAAAAACTAAGTCGACATCTAAGTCAAAGTTAAAGTGCTAAAGTAAATACAAAGTGAACAACCACACAAGACCCACACAAAGGTAAACAAACCTAGCTTATGCACAATAATGATTATCTAGAAATCTTATCACTCCAACTTTATCAAATCCCTTATGTCTCTTTATCTAAGTGAATGCATATAAGGATGCCAAAACATTTTTCAAATCAACAAACTTTCTAAGTCAACAAAAAGTCCTTCAAAAGTAAAACAACTTTCATGCAATGCACTTACCACATAAGGAAAGTTATATAGTTCAAATCAATTATACATCAAAATGTGTGTGTATATATATATATATATATATATATATATATATATATATATATATATATATATATATATATATATATATATATATATAGGGATATGTACTCCCGGTAAACTTGCCTCGAAGATCTTTCTTGTGTGATCTCTTAATACCTTACAATGCTACTAGTTACCCTACAACTCATAATAATACAATATAAAACTTCTAAAATCTTTTATCAAGGCATTCATAAGATTTTATTATAAACATGACTCATACATTCGTACATTACTCATTGTACAATTATACACTTCATGTGTATAAATGTACACTTACTGTGTACAAATTTACCATTTAGAATAGAATACCCTAAATACAATACACAACTAGCATACAGTTCAAACAATAAATTTCTAACAAAATGCATAACAAGCATAAAAGTGTATGAATTGGTGCGTATATTTGGGTAAAATGAGTTAATGACACATTTCTTTATGAAAATATAAGGTTTATGCCTAATTCCAATTCCTAAACAAATTCCAACGAATTTTTGTGGTTGTTAAGACTAAAAATAACCTTATTTGATGCCATTTTATATCATATTACTCTTATGTCTTAACCAAATAATAACTTAAGGTCTTCATGATTTCAAGAGTGTAAATATGAAGACACTAACACTTACATAACATTTTAGTAAAAAATGCCTTAATGTTACCTCTAGATTATGTTCTTAAGACTTGATGATCCATAAGGATTCTCCTAATATGTTTTACACATCATAACAACTCAAATTCCATTCCAACAAATATGTTCATGACTGAAAGTTTTTATCAATCCTTGTTTATGAAATACTTTAAGGTTTATAGATGAACATATGTTTATGGATGGTAAATGTGGTTGATCATTGATTCTGAAATGTACTAAGGTTCATAGATAAAGCATAAAGGTATTTTCATGGAAGAACATATGTTCATAGATGAACATGAGGTGGTAGTGTTGATTATGTGTTATGGTAGTATGTAGCAGGTATTTGATAGAATGCTTCAACAAATTGATTGTGAAGGGAACAACTAGAATTCAATAAATGTACATTAATACAACTGGAAGTGTTAAAGACTAACAATCAAGATTGAAAATTGGAATTTAGTGGCTAGAATAGCATTTTAGTTCTTGGACAATATTGATTAGATTACAAAATAACATTTTGGTTTATCAGTCTAGTTACAAAAATATCATTGTTTTGTGAAAGAGAATATCATGGTACTTACAAAAATATCATTGTACTTGTAATGATTTGATTACATAAGTAACTTTTTCATTTTTGACAACGATGTGGCATCGATCTCTGGAATTGGCTTGTTAGCATAACTCCGTCTTCGACTGGATATGGGTTCACAATTAGAATGAAAACTCGTGAGTCATGTCCCGGGACAACGCTCTAAAAATTTAGTTAGTTTTCCAGCCAAGGTTTAGAATAAGAATAGAGAGTGAAAGTGAGAATAAGCATGTCCCTTTATCATTTTCGAGTATGGACTTTTATAGTAAGGCTTTGGTGAAGGTTTCGCCTTTAGGGGACCGGGGGCGGACGCAAGATTTTACAGTAGGGGTTGCACAAGAAAGTTAGGGATTGCACGATAGTATAAAAAATAAAAGTTTCGAAAATTTTCGAAAATTTTTCCACTGCGGCCGGAAAAGTTAGGGGTTGCCGGTGCCACCGTGGACCACCCCTAGGTCCGCCCCTGTAGGGGACATTAATGTCGGCCTAC